GGTTGGTTGGTTGGTTGGTTGGTTGGTTGGTTGGTTGGTTGGTTGGTGGTTGTTGGTGGTGGGTGGTTGGTGGTTGGTTGGTTGCAAGCGCTGCGCCTGCCACACAAATCACAGCGGCACAGAAGCGGCGACCCAGGAGCCCCAGGGCGTACATCCGACCCCTTGGAGAGCAGCAAGTGCTGCGCTTGCCACGCAAATCACAGCGGCGCAAAGGCTACACCACTCCGTTCTTCCCACTTTAAATCGTCCTTGCCATACTTCAACATGTGATGCAACAACCATTCTTTTGCACGTACCGTCATTGGAAATGCCGAGTGTAGTGGAGAAGCGAGGGGTTGAGTTTCTCGGTCTGTATCCGTGGTCTTCCAAACATTTCCACAGAGCATCTAAGGTTCCTGTGTATGCTGGTGTATGATAGCTATTACCTCTTTCATTGTTCAATTGTTGTTCAGCGAGCATGAAAGCACCGAACACCACACAGACCAAATCAACGGTAGACAAGAAGGTGGCTCAGAAAAGCAAACAAGCAAACGATCTCCCACCCCCCCACCCACCAACCCACCCCCCTCGCCACACCCAACCCCTTTCAAGTGTTGAACGCAGCACGAACCGAAGACATAAGAACATGCATCAGCTTATATGGGAACACATAATAGAAATTAAGGCTGAAAACACGTATAGTATTCATATTGTTTCACCTGATACAACATGTAACTACTGAAACTAGGGGCCGGCAAACGCCCCCTCTAGCCAAAACATCACAAAACATCACACCGCGCCATCCCACGCCCTACCACGCCTCCGGCCAGGCCTTATTGACCGTGAGCCGAAAGGCCTTCGCCCGCTTTCGCACCTGCGGCCAGCTGCACCGTGCCCTGCATGAGAGTTTTCTGGAACGCTTGCAAGACAGCTCGCTGTTTCAAACAGCCTTGCCCTCAAAAGGTGCGGGTGCACGTGGAATGCTACAGTACGGCTTTGGACTTCATCTAAGCTCTTCCCTCCACCATCCTCCGGCCGTGTGGCCCATCTACCCGGTCCGGTCGGTGCGGCAGCCTGGCCTTCTTCCCAAGGTGCGTCTTCTGCGGCTCCAGCACGCAACGATTGATGTGGAGCTTTCCCAGCAGCAGACCGACCTGGAACAACACCAACATCGGCTGCAACACCCACAACCCAACGCCCACAACTGTAGTCAAATTCCTGTTAAGATGAACATATACACCCGGGAAAATGAACATGGAACCTGAAAATGGACCTTTGGAAGACGATTCTCCTCTACAACTCAGTGGTTTTCAGGTTCCATGTTAAATGTCCAGTGTGTAGTATATGGTTCCTATTCCCTGTAACGGACGATGATGTTAAGAAAAGGCCTTGGGCCCAATCCTGTGATGAACATCCTACGTTCCCGTTCCTGTTGAACATGGTGTTGACCTGTAGTTCGAACCGAACCCGTCCGACTCCCAGTGACGTCCATGGAGCGTCCGAACTGACGTTTCGACCTGGAGCGACCATGAATCGCCTGGCCTGTCTTCGACCTGGCTCTGGTCTTTGGTTCAGTCCCAAGTATGGAAATGGCTCTGGTGTTTGGCTCTGGTCTTTGGTTCAACTCCCAACCGATCAAACCCGGAATTCCCCGTCGATCGACGCCACGGACCCCAAACTGGTCAACAGCCCCCCCTTCCGGATCCCCAACAACTCGTGACCCCCCACAGAGTCCAACGACTCTTTCCGGTGGATGCGCCCTGGACCTCCCCCGGTCTCCGGCACCTCTATAAAACGTGGACGTGGGAAGTGGTGCACCCGGATCCGCGGTTCGTGGACCGAGTTTTCGGTCGACCCAACACCCTACACTCCATGGGACTGGGACGGACTGCCGCCCCAGCCAGACCCCCCCTGGCACCACCACCCCAACTGATCTGCATCTTTGACCAGTCCCATGGGAGCGTCGTTCGTGCACCAGATCCCGCGGAGCGAATCCACCGGACGGGTCAACGGGTCACCCGGTCCATACCGGACAGACGGGACTGGAGCGAATCGACCGGTCAGAGCGGATGGTCTACAGAACGCAGCTGACAGAGAAAGCGTGGCTGATATCGGATCATTACAGGTCCGTGAAGGGGACTTTCTCTATTCCTGCCAGATGGTCCAACAGTTTCTACTCTCACTTTCATGTTCTGCAGAGTTTTCGATTGCCTATGCTGCTACCTGAAGAATGCAGGCAACCAGAAAGTTGCTTCATTGATCCATCGCGCACCTTCCTTCTCCCCAAAAGAATGGATGATTCCATGGTCGACATGACTCAACACGACTAAACAGCAAGTAACCAAGTACTAGTAGACGATACCAAGTACACCGTTTGCAGCTTGTTACCAAGTACTAGTAACAAGCTGCAAACGGTTGTAGCTAGCAGACGTCGCTTCGTCCGTACGGCGAACCGACCGGACCGCTCCGCGGTGCGGAACCGAACGGTCCGAAGGGATGGGAGATGGATGGCGACGGACGGTGGTTGAGTATCGATTCTGTGAACATGCGGGAAATCATGTACTTGGATGATTTGGACTTGGATGATTTGGATTTGGAAACTCATCAGTATGGATTTGGATGATTTGGACTTGGCTTCCCAACCTTTCCTCCTTTTTATAACTCTTTGGTATTCAGTTAGGGAGAGGAACTTAGGGCTGGAAGAGCACGGAGTTTGGGAATGTATAGGGAATGTGTTGTTTCCAGTCTGCTACCGAATCCAGGTCTCAACTAGACTACCCGACTGAACACCCACTTGTTCCTCGCCCACCCGGCTGAACCGCTCATCCCGCTGGCCTTTCTTCGACCCTAGGGGGTTTGATGAATTGGGAGCTTGAACATCTGACCTCCTAATATCATGAACAATTATGAACCATATGAAACACTGCTGCAGCTTGCATGCGAATGGATGGCCCGTGGCACATGGCGGGTTGACAGTTGACAGTTGACTGGTGGGGTGTCCATTTTGTTCATGTTAAAAAAGGTACCCGCGTGTCCAACCACAAATCTGGCATGTGACTGTCTGATGACCGGCAGAGTTCAATGATATTCACATGTGCACCGTCGACATCAGTGACTCGTTGTGACAGACCACCGGACGACCTTGGTAATCACTGCGAGGTATCTTGGGAAAATGCAGGTCGACATCGCACTGGTTGCGAGGCAGGCTGGTGATTTTCTCAGGTGTTCTTCCATCAATTCATGTGATGTTCATATCAACAACCTTCAAGAAGCAACAATTTGTTCACCATCTGCTTCAAAAATATGTCCCTTTTAAATAAGGTGGCCATGCAGTCTACTACAAATACCAATTATATTAAACGGCTAAAGGACTCACACTTGGCTTTATCATGTGCACTATTGTGCACTTCTTCTCCCTAGTAAACGATCATCCAGCCAAGAATACAAGGAACAAACATGGACCAACAGCCATGTTAGTGTTCCCTGCGTTATCTGGGCCCTGCTGATCCCAAAACGTGTTAGTCTATGGTTTAAAGATTGTTGAACACACAGTTGGTTGACATACATATTCTGAGAGGCATCAAAATCTTGTTGCTCCAAACTCTCTTCCCTGCAACCAAATCTCTTGTGCCGGAAAACCGACAGAGCCGCCAAAAACCCACGCGACGCCCTGCTGCCCAGCGGCTCCCGACATTGGCAGGAAGCCATGCCACACCAGCACCGCCACCAAGGCAGCGGTGCGCTGGAGCGGATGGCGGAACGGACGACTGATCGAACCTACGGATCTACGGATGGGGCGAGACAGAAAGAATCACCTGGAGAATAAAACTCCTGGACCTGTCTTTCTTTCTGGGGGCGGTGTCTTTTTTTTCTCCAGGTGTTTTTGGTCTATCGCGGGATGGCATCAGTAGCCGTATCAACGTGCCGTCCGTTGCAGGAAAAGACACATCAAACACATGAGGCAATCGTTTGCACAAATGACAAAAGGTTTGCAAATGGTAGGCATGTTCGTCGCAATCTGAGTTGATGATGCTGAGGTTGCTGCAAGAATTGGTTTGCACATATATGGACTATATAGTACTATATATATGCAGTATATATGCCGTTTGTTAGTATATCAGTATATCACAGAAAAGGTAGAATGGTATCACCAACAAATCGCACTGCAAGTTCTGTGCTGCAAGCTCTGATGCATGTCTAAAGCTCTGATGCATGTCTAGTCTTAACCACAAGGAAAACACTCAGGAGGTGAACATCCCAGACACGCCCACCACCGAGTCTGGGAGAGTCTCGACATGTGCCATGTGCCATGTGCCCAGCTTCGGTGTGCGGCGAACGTTGGGACAAAGAGACCGCATCTGCAGTTTCACCCTTCTCCCATGTCTTTTTGGTTTGTAAAGCAAAAAATTGATGGCACACCGTCAGTTCTCGACGGATATGTTCAATGGATCCTTTGATCATAATAAACTACTGTACCTGTTTGTAAACCATTCTCTATGATGCAATTGAGCCCTTGCTGTCGCACCTAGTGTCATCTGGAGCATTGAACATGGAGGGCAAGCAAACCACTACCAAACACAGCCATCATGTGGTCAACAAATATCATATCAAGCCTTGCCGTCATGTAGTCCTGCAAAAGAGTGAACATCAAAGTCCAGCAAGAGTTGGTCAGTCCGAGTCCAACAATTCCAGCATATTCCAACTAATGGCCCACATGAGACAGACTACTTCAAGCTTTATTCTGTTCTGTTCCTTAGCAGGTCAAGTGATACCTGTCTCGGAACACCTCTGTCCAAAAGTCTGACAACATTATCTTGTATAGCATCTGTACACTGTATACTGGTAACATTAATGACTTGTCACCACGGTGGTGCACTGCCCCTATGGAATGCTACAAGGAACAAAGCACTAAACCACATCTGGCTCACCTCAAGACTCCCATACTCGGACTCGAACGGAAGTGCGGAACGAACATGACCACATCATCTACATGTCCACAGGTGAGCAGACAAAACGCCATCAGAAGTAAGACTCTAGACCGGTTTTCGTGCCCTTCCAGTGCTGCACCTCGCCCTCATTCAAGTTGGCCACCACGAACTCCCCACCATCCGGAAGCCCTCGCGAAAAGCGCGGCGGGTATCTCATCGCCCGGTCGATCGGAAGACACTGGAAGCCCGCTGCCCAAGCCCGGCGATCGAGGCTTAGAAGTCCGTCTCTTGGAATCAAACGTCGAAACCTGAGCAAGGTCAACTGGCCCTCATAGTGCGTCAACTGGCATAAACCTATATTGTACATTGAAATGATTTGACATTGTCACACTCTGTCTCAAACAGTTCGGGATTTGAACCAAGATCCGGGGCGAAGCCTTTGGCGGCCGGACCCAGTCAGTCTTGTTAAACCCAGTCAGTCACTCTTTCGAACAAACACTCCAGTCCATGAAGCCGACCACATAGACTCTGGACCAAAAAGGATCAACAGGGTCAACTCGCCGAGTAGTTGGCGCTCGTCCCCAAGTCAGCTGGGTTACGCCGTCCTCCACGTCCAAAGCATCGAAAGCATAATATATCCCAAAAACATGATCCAACCTCATCTGGACACGAAGTCTGGGCACCCTTCTACCCCCCAAAAAATGGTCTCCTATATATCTCCTATATGTAGGGGGCACCACACCTCGATCTCCATCTCCCGACCATCCGAAGAGAATGAATGGAACTCAGAACATCTGTCGACAGATCCCTAAGTAGTAACTAGTATAAGATAATTAAGATAATATCCCAATATCTGTAAGTGTTGGGGCTTCTAGGTGACAATGATTGGACACATACCTGGAACTTCGTTACGGCAATAATAATTGCCGTTTTCATGAAACGTCGCCTTTTTCCGTTCTGCGGCGTTCTTCCATATTGATCTCATGGGGACGGCGTTTCTTGATGAACTGCGGCAGTTTCGGTCAGTTGACGGCAATTTTGGTCCACACATCTATGCGCCTCAAAGAGTCATTTTGTTTTAGTTTTAGTGCAGGCGAGTATGAAAACATTGTAGGGTCTAGCTTGAAAGGCAACTGAACGTAAAAGGCGTCTTATTATATCAGCAAACTCGCATAGTCATGCGAGTGGAAAGGGCAGCTGATGGAAGTGCCACATGCTGGGTTTTCGTCGGTTTTCGCGGGTAACTCGACCTCTTGCGCGGCGTTGCAGAAGATTTTGCGTTTAAAGCTACGGCGTTCTTACCCGTACTTGCGGCGTTTTTCCCCGTACTTACGGCGTTTTTTTCCCGTACTTACGGCGTTTTCCCCCTACTTACGGCGTCGTTCCCTTACCCTGTCTAGGGTCACTCAAGGTGGCAGCAAGACTTGTCACAACATGTCACAAGCGATCCTTTCAGCCATTGCATGATCAAAATGTGAACAAATCCTGCCGTGATGTCAATCGAGACCTTAGACAAGGGCTGCAACATCTTGAGAAGTGCTACCATGAGGCTTGAAAACGATGAGCTCTACTTACAAGTGAAAAAGGAGAAGGCAATTTCAGGGTATGGAAGGACCAAAACAATATCCTCTTTGGTAGATCAAACAAAACGGCGGCGATTCTTCTTTTGTGACGGCGTTTTCACTTCTCTGACGGCGTTTTCACTTTCCAGGGATTGAGCTACGGCAGAAAAAATGAGTTACGGCAAAAATTATTGCCTCAACAGCCTACGGCAAAAATTATTGCCTCGGGAGGGTCTAGGTATTGCATGGTCCTGGTCTATATGAGATGGTATGTTTCTCTTTAATGGTTTTTTTGCTTGTTTTTTGTGTTTTCTTTCCGGGATGTTTCTGCGATGTCTTGAGGCTTTTGTGGTGACCCCCCGACCCATCTCGACCATGGACATGACGAAATTCGATGACACCAGACTGGAGAAAATACGCTCCCTTAGGTTTATGCGCTTAGATGTTTCTCTTTCAAAACGTCAGACCTGGAGGAGATGGACGCACCCTCCACGCCTTGATCCACGATCTGTGGCAAGATTTGGTCCAAGTCCTGTATACCGTCCGTGGCAGACTTGGTGTGCGGAACGCGGAACGTCCGGGCGGAGCGCGCGGCGGAACATGGCGTCCGGTCGTGTCCGGTGGTATCCGGTGACCACGTCATGTGGGGTCATCTTGGCTCAGACTGAGCCACTGAGCCCGCGGATCCGATTTTCGGGTCAGAACATGGTCATGGTGACCATGGTTCTAAGTTGTTCGATACCCTACGGCCCTACACCCTCAAGTGTGCTACCCACTTGAATAAGATGGCAAACCTCTTTTGCGCCAGCGAAAAAGCCCTTCAAACTCACACATGTCATGACTTTGATTCAGCTGTTGTAGATCCAACATGAAGAGAAGTAGCAAAAGCTTCTGGCAAAACAACTCGGATCCAAGTTCGGATGAACGCGAAACAAATCGAGATTAGGTCACAGCTTCTCACTACCTCACTGCCGACATCAGAATCAGGTTGATCCTATTTTCATCTATTTTCCAAATCCGACACGTAACATTGCTGTGCACGGAAATCGTTCAATCCAGCATATATCCAGCTAATCAAAGGCATATGTCTTACGTATCAGGCTTTTAGGGCCTGACTCTTCAGCTCAGTTACGACCCGACTGCCATCCCAGCGCTCCTCCAGGCTCAAGGATGATGGGATCCGCGCCATGGGACAAGGAGATCGCCCCAGGATCGGTGAGGTCGGTGGTTGGAGATCCGCACCGCTGGCGCGGGAGTTCTGCGGTGTTTGGAAGAAAAACACGGTGAAAAGCAGAAAACAAGCAGAATCATGTAGAATCAAAGGATTCGCGAATTGGTCAATTTGGGTTCAGGAAGAACCATATGGGTTTCACTCTTTGTGAGAAACTAAGAATGCTCAGGTTGTCACGCGCAACATTGTTCACCAATCAGTCTAGACTCCATTGCTGAAGTTGGTCAAATCCACGATTCACCCAAATGAACTCCACTGAGAAATAGCTTTATAATGCTCCAATATACGCTTAGAACGATGCTTAAATAGTGGCTGCTGGGCTGAGGATAGTCACTATCCTCAGGCCCCGGCGGTTACATCGAACATCCATCAACTTAGTATCGACTTTGTCCACATCAGAACCCAAAGATCTTGGCATGTTGTGTTTTTGAAGCTGCTAGCAGTCTGACGGATCTTGGATTCTCGCCATGTTCTCACATGTTGGATTGCAGAACCAGTAGGAGGGGGCATTGGCTTCAACCCTCCCACTCTCCTTCGCTGTCTAGGGCGGTCTGCGAGCCAGCTCAGGTGCCGCAGTGCGGAAAACACCGGAACTTCGGCCGGCCCAAACCCCAAACGAGAAACCGGCCGTAGAAGGATGTGCAGCGAAGAGCGGAGCGTCATTTTCGCGAACCTGAGTGCGCTACTCTATGCATAGATCCAGCAAATCGCTTTACATCGTTTTACTATTGAGTGACTGAGTGTCCCCATCTGCGGAATACACAAACCAAACCATCAATGGTGCAAACGTTGGTGCAGCATGGGCAGCATGCGGTTTGGTGCTGCACACATCGCATCTCAACCGGCTTCAGACCGTCTCGAAACACGTACTGAAGTGTTCGCTTCATCCATCGCGCACGGTTCCGGTTCTCCTTTTCTTCACTTACCCCAGAAGTGTAAATCTGCTTTGGGCCCGCCGATCTTCAGCTGCTCCGCTGCATCTTCCAGGCGATCCACGGTGCGTTTCAGCTGGCCTTACGTGCGTGGGAAGAATGCAGCTCAGCTCAGCTCTGCATATCTGGCCCCCGGTCCTGTGACTTACTATCCCGATCCAATGGAGAAACACACAAATTGCGAACGGATGGAAAGGTGTGCCCTGGCCCCGTTCTAGCCCTTAATTCAACATGAAGCTCGCGCGCTAAAGCTCCTTTTTTACCTGGTTGGGCACTTGAGCCAAAAGTATATGGCATGTACCTGTATAGCAACTATACTGGGACCTCATCCCTATTGACACCCCCCACATCCGTACTTCGACGGGGAAGGGAGATGAGTGGATGCAAAAACCGGAGAACGAATCACGTTCTCAAAAGTGTATTGGAGGTCAACCAGTATGTCCTATTGAATTGAATTAGCAAACGATCTTGCATTCGCTTGAAAGTTGGATCAAACAGGTAATGGAGCTACAAACGGAAAACGTGCACCTACCTATGGTATCATGCGATTACCAGCGGTGTGAAACACAATCCTATCTCACTCCCATGACGCCAAAACGGTCATCATGAATTACCCAAGATCCCTCAGTACTTGAAGTACCAGAAGTGGCATGTCGGTATGACCCCAATGCTCAACCATTCGTGAGTTGTCGCATGTAGTCAGCGCCGACAAAGCCAATGTAGTCCTTGATGAGCTCAACGTTCCTCGGATTTCCCGCTCGGATCTGCTCCTCGAAGAACTTCAATTTCTGTGCTTGGATAGCGGATACCTCTATGCCATAGTAGCGGCATGCAACGAGGATCTCCTTCGTGACATTCTTCCGCTCCGATTTGATGGCGGGACTAATGTCGATGAATTTGTATGGAGCGGCACTTTCGTCATCTGGTTTCTGGTAGTAACTATATCGGCTCGCTCCGAAGGTCTTCCTGATCAAGCGTCTGATGAAATTTGAGATGAATGCCAGTTTCTCGATGATCTCTTCCTGGGTCTCAGACCTTCGAGCCTTTGGATCACTCATGTTGCGCCGAGTGCTGCCGACCTCTTTGAGGTACTTGTGGCTAAGCCCGCAGCGGATTGCAGTGATCATCATCGGGTGAACAACGTGGGCGTGGAATTCATAGATCTGCCACGCTTCTGTTGCATACACGTCGTTGGTCCGTTTGCTCATGCCTACGACCTCGGCTCTCTGGAGACGTCTTGGAAACCCAGTATCCGGATCATTCGGTACTATTGGCCATCTATTGTACGGAGTGTCATGCCGCTGTCCATCGTCGAACTTTCGCAGTACGTCTTCACGACTCTCAAAGCAGTTGATGTCGAACGTTGCGTTGGCCAAGCTCTTGATCAACTTCATCAACCTCAGATCAAATTGCTGTGCGACGGCAAAGTTGTGGTCGATGGGGATCGCAGCTTCTTGCGGCAATTCGTCAATTGCGAAGGGGAAAGGCTGTGGAAGTTCATTCCCGTATCCATCTTGAGGGACCTCCCGATATTCGGGTTCGCCTTCAGCTTCGTCCGGTCGTTCCTTCAAAATGATAGGAACTTCCTCCTCTTCCTCTCCTTCGGATTCCTCGACCTCAATGACCTCTTCGGCTGTCTTGCGTGCGTTCTTGATGACTTCATCGATGTTCGCACCCGCAGCAGAAGTTGCTTCACCGGAAGAACTGGCTGGGACATCTCTCGGAGGTGATCGTTGATTGCGGTCCCTTGTCTCCTTGGGTACCACATGCGTGAGCTTCCCATTCGCGATCAAAACCGCTACGCAGTGCGGACATATCGTCAATCGCACATCGACTTCGCCAAGACAGTTAGGACACGGTCTTGAGTCATAGTCTTTCATTGCTCGGCGGTACACGATCTCCTCAAAGATTTCCTGCCACTCGGTGCTATCATATTCTGGGTAGACACCACTCTCCTCGATCATGCCCAACAGCTTTGAGATTTTGGCGTCGTCCTCGGAGTAGGTATCGTCCTGAACCTCAACCGCTAAACTCTCAAGCTTTTGATAGCGTGGATTCATGATCGGGTTTCCGTATTTGGACTCCAGAACAAGGTAGCTTCCAGGGTCGGGTTCCCTATTGAGTAACCTGATCCATTCGATCTCCTCAGGCTGTCCGGGTTCCGCATTGTCGCATTGCAACCATGCCCCTTTAACCTCATCGAAGGGAACGACGTTCTCAACCAATAGAGATCCAGTCGCTGAGATGAGAAGTCCGTACTCCTGCAGCTTCCACACCGGAATGTAGAGAACCACTGGGCGATCACTCAATGCGACCTTACGACCCAGCCAAGGTTTTCCCTTGTAGCCCTGCTCCCAGGCCCATGGCGGAAAACATGTGAAGTGGATAGAATCCCTTCCCGATGAACCGAGACCTCCTGGCACTAGCCCCCGTCGCATGATTGAAGTCAGCGCTCCAAGATTGGTAGCGTGAAATGCAGTCACCATAGATAGGGCCATGTCGTTGGTCATTCTCGATCCAATGTGGTCGATGTTGATGGTAACGTCATAACCTCCGCCGTCCGTTGAGTGTGCTGAGGTTGCTCTTACGGCCACGGGAAAGCACCATCCATCGCTATGGTGGAGTCTTCCTTTGGAGATTCCCATGCCCTTGAGTTCGTCAATCCATTCCTTCTCCATCGGGTCATCAGGGTCATTGAGTTCATCAGGGTGAACGCGGACCGCCAACATTTGGAATCTGATCCTCTTGGTTATGCGGAAACACTCATAGTTCTGGTCGAAGTACTTCTCCAAACGCGCCTTCTTGGTCACGATGTCTATGTTGCCATAGTGGTAACCGTCTTCCCAAACTGCATTATCACCTAACAGGTCTTCCCATGACACCCATGCGCCTTCATCGCATTTGATTGGTGTGAGTCTTCCTCCTGACCTGCACTGGCGTCCAATTCGATGCCTCAACTTCGCTCCCAATCGACGACTCAGGGCCTGGCTCGCTTGGCTGTATTCAGGTACTCGACAGTCTGGAGTCGGATACTTGTGGTTGCCGTAGTCGGAGTTCTGTGCAGCGAAAGTGACTCCGTTGATCGGTACTAGCTCAACTTTCCCGACCATCGTCATGGGGTCGATCGGCTTGTATCCCTTCTCCCTCCGTGTCGGTAGGGGATAGAAGTGATGACATGCCTTTGGTGTGAGGGAACTGGAGTGCACAAATGCCTTCTCTACAAATTCGTACACCACCCTCATATCCCTAGGGCCTGCTTCCGCAAGCTTCCGCCCATTGTAGGAATGTGTCCCTCCTTCGACTCCATCAGCACTTTCGATCAAGGTGAATCCGTCATGGTCGAACATTGTCACGACTCTTGCTTTCAGCATTTCTTTTCGCCTGAACTCGCTGTCGACCTTCCTATCTGGAGTAGGCGATGCTCTCTGCTTCTTCTTCTTCTTAGGCTCCTCGGTTGGATGTCCAGATGGTACATCGTCGGGTGCAACCTCTCCCTTCACTCTCTTCTTCCAATCACTCAACACTGAGGTGACTGTAGGTGAAGATGAAGGGGTCTTCTCGCAATTGAGAGTTGTGTGTCCCGACTTCATGCAGTGGATGCAGAATTCTGCTTGCCCGATCTTCTCCTCAAATTCGTCGATGGCTTGCAGTATTGATGTCTTCGGGTCGGACATGTCAACGTCTTGCTCCTCCTTCTCCTGTTCACATTCAGTCTCCATATCGACACCTTCGGCCTCGGGCTGGTCAGTAGCCTCTGTTCCCTGTTCTGGTTCTTTCCCAATTTCGAAGAAGTGGTCGATGTCGAATTCAGGAGGCGGCATGGTCCTCATGCGAACGAGAATCAGTGCCACGTTTGCCGCCTCATCAGAGTGCGGGTCCAAGGTCCTGATCGTCGATCGCTTTCGGTTCTCATACGTTGTCCTGTCGTACAGCGATGCAGTGACGCGTTTGATGGATTCTTCTAATCCCGTCCTCAAAGCTTCGATGTCACCCCATCCCCTGAACATGTGCCTGAAGAGTTGAGCAATTTCGAACATGCCCAGCAGCGCTTCCACCATGTCACCTACCCGTTCCTCCGTGGGATCATCTCCGAATATAGTGCGGAATACATCGGGCTCCAGTATGGTCTTGAGGTATTTGGTG